ATGGTCTTGGTGATAGAAATAACACTGGAGATCTCATGATAGAATTTTGAAAGACCAACGACTTATTCATTGCAAATACCTTCTTTGAACAACATAAACGATGGCTGTACACGTGGACTTTGCTGGATAGAATGCATGGGATTCAAACTGACTACCTCTGTGACAAGAGGCAATAGAGAAGTTCAATATCTTCAGCCAAAACAAGGAGAGGAGCTGATTGTGGAACAGACCATTAACTGCTTATATATAAGTTCAAGTTGAAGTTGAAGACAATTAAAACAAGTCCACAGGAGCCAAAACATGTCCTTGATAATGTTGTTATTGTTGTTATGTGCTGTCAAGTTGGCCCCGACTCATAGCGACCCCTCCTTGGGTTGCTGAGGCAGTATCACTATGTAAGTAGATTGCCCAACCTTCCTTCCAAGGAGTGGCTAATGGGTTTGAACCGCCAGCCTTCTGGTTAGCAGTCAAGTGCCTTAGGCACTATGCTACCAGAGCTCCCGTCCTTGATAATATCCCTTCCTCCTGAATTTAGAGACCATCTGAAGAATAGATTTGATACATTGAACACCAGTGACCAAAAACCAGAAGAATTGTGGGATGACATCAAGAACATTACCCATGAAGAAAGCAAGAGATCATTAAAAAGACAAGAAAGGAAGAACAGACCAAAATGGATGTCAGAAAAGACTCAGAAACTTGTCCTTGAGCAAAGAGTAGCTAAAGCAAATGGAAGAAATGACAAGATAAAAGAGCTGAACAGAAGATTTCAAAGATCAGCTCAAGAAGACAAAGTCAGTTATTATACTGAAATGTGCAAAGACCTGGAGTTAGGAAACCAAAAGGGAAGAACACACTTGGCATTACTCAAGCTGAAAGAACTGAAGAAAAAAATGAAGCCTCAGTTTGCAATATTGAAAGATTCTATGGGCAAAATATTGAATGTGAGAAACATCAAAAGAAGATGGATGGAATACACAGAGTCACTGTACCAAAAAGAACTGGTCAATGTTCATCCATTTCAGGAGGTGGCATATGATCAAGAACCAATGGTATGTATTGAAGGAAAAAGTCAAGGCTGCACTGAAAGAATTGGTGAAGAACAAGGCTCCAGGAATTGACAGAATACCCATTGAGGTATTTCAACAAACTGATGCTGCACTGAAGGCACTCACTGAGCTATGCCACGAGATTTGGAAGACAACAGCTACCTGGCCAACTGACTGGAAGAGATCCATGTTTATACTCGTTCCAAAGAAAGGTGATCCCACAGAATGTGGAAATTATCAAACAATATCATTAATATCACATGCAGGTAAAATCTTCTGAAGTTAATTTAAAAATGGTTGCAGCAGTATATTGAGAGAGCTTCCAGAAATGCAAGCTGGATTCAGAAGAGGACAAGGAATGAGGGATATCATTGCTGATGTCTGATGGATATTGGCTCAAAGCAAAGAATACCAGAAAGATGTTTACTTATGTTTTAGTGACTATGCAAAAGCATGTGATGGTGTGGATCATAACAAATTATGGATAACATTGAGAAGAATGGGAATTCCAGAACACTTGATTGTACTCATGAGGAATCTGTACCTTGACAGGAGGCTGTCGTTGGAACAGAACAAGAGGACACTGCATGGTTTAAAATCAAGAAGGGTTGTATCCTTTCACCATACTTATTCAATCTGTATACTGAACAGATAATCTGAGAAGCTGGACTATATGAAGAAGAATGTGGCATCAGGATTGGAAGTAGACTCAATAACAACCTGCAATATGCAGATGACACAACTTTGCTTACTGAAAGTGAGGATGACTTGAAGCATTTACTGATGAAGATTGAAGACTACAGTCTGCAATATGGATCACACCTCAATATAAAGAAAACAAAAGTCCTCACAACTGGTTCAACAAACATCATGATGGATGCAGAAAAGATTGAATTGTCAAAGACTTCATATTACTTTGTTCTACCATCAGCATCAATGGAAGCAGCAGTCAAGACATCAGGTGATGCATTGCATTGGGCAAATCTGCTCCAAAAGACTTCTTTCAAGTGATGAAGACCAAAGATGTCTCCTTGAAGACTAAAGTGCACTAACCCAAGCCATGGTATTTTCAGTCACCTCTTACGCATGTGAGAGCTAGACAATGAATAGGGAAGACCAAAGAAGAGTTGATGCTTTTGAGTTCTGGTGTTGGAAAATAATGCTAAGAATACCATGGACTGCTAGAAGAACTAACAAATCTGTCCTGGAGGAAGTGCAGCCAGAATGCTCCTTGGAAGTGCGACTGGCCAGACTTGGTCTCACCTACTTTGGTTATGTTGTCAGGAGGAACCATTCCCTGGAGAAGGATATCATGCTTGGTAAAGTGGAGGGTCAACAAAGAAGGGGAAGGCCCTCAACTAGATGGGTCGACACAGTAGCTGCAACAATGCTGTTGTTATGTGCTGTCCAGTGAGGCCAGACTCACAGTGACCCCTCCTTGGGTTTCCAAGGTGGTATCACTACAGAAGTAGATTGCCCAAGCTTCTTTGTGAGGAGTAGCTGTTAGGTTATAACCGCCAGCCTTCTAGTTAGCAGTCAAGTGCCTTAGGCACTACACTACCAGAGCTGCAATGATAGGCTGAGGTATAGCAAGACCCGTGAGGCTGGCACAGGACCAGGCAGCATTTCGTTCTGCTGTGCATAGTGTCACTATGAGTTGGAGATGACTCGACAACATCTAACACCACAACAACATATGTTAAAGACTCACAAATTTATATCTCTAGTTCAGACCTCTCCCTTGAGCTCCAAACTTGTGTGTCTAACTGCCTGTTTGACTTACCCAATTTGATATCTAACATTCAACCTCTTTTTCATTTAGTCTTTTCATTATAGTGAGAGACATCACTGTCTAATCCACTTGTTCAAGCCTACAAACGAGAATTCCTCACTGATTCCTCTTTTTCTGTTATTTCCTGTGTCCATCAGCTAGATTTTTGGCCCTACCTCCAAAATATAACCTGAATTCACTGTTTCTGTCCAACTCACTGCTACTGTCCTATTCCAATGCACTGTTCTCTGCCTCTCTGCTCTCTCTCTAGGCTTCTACAGTTCAATCTACAGTAACCACAGTGATCCCTTTAAGCTGCCATGTAATTTCTCTGCTTAAAACCCTCCAACAGTTTTCTTTTTCACATAGACTAAAATCCGAGTCCCTTACCATATTCTTAGAAGGCCCTCCATGGAATGAGCTCTCCCACCTCTCTGACCTCCTGTTGTCCTGCTCTCCTCCACATTCATCGTACTGCAGCCGCATGAGAGTTGCCCAGCCCGCTCCCATTGAACTGATTTGTGCTTATTGCTGCCTGTGTCTAGAGCTTACATTGCCAGCTCCTTCTTGTTACTTGGGTCTTAGCTGAAATGAGAGGCCTTCCCTGACGAGCATTTGTACTCATCTCTTCCCTTCTTCCCTTCACCTCTGCCATAGTATTTTTCTCTATAGCATTTAACACTATCTGAAAAGTTTGTCTTATTAGGGTGTATGTGTGTTTTCTTATTTATTATCATTCTTCTCTCACTAGAATGTCAGCTTGATGAGGACAGGGGCTTTGTCTATCATGTTCACCATTGGTATTTAGAATAGTAACTGCCACATGGTAGGTGCTCAGTATACATGTATTTGCTGAATGAATATCTGTTCTATGATGTCCCAAGTGTGTTAGGAATAATAATTTAGCTTTTACTATACACAGTGCCTGGCAGCTGTTGTTTGTTGTTGTTATGTGCCATCAAGTTGGACCTGACTCAAAGCGACCCCTCCTTGGGTTTCCGAAGCAGTATCACTATGAAGTAGATTGCCCCATCTTCCTTCCGAGGAGTGGCTGGTGGGTTTGAACCGCCAGCCTCTGGTTAGCAGTCAAGTGCCTTAGACACTACGCTACCAGAGCTCCCCTGGCAGCTTGTTGTTGTTGTTGTTATGTGCCGTCGAGTCGGCCCCGACTCATAGCGACCCCTCCTTGGGTTTCCGAGGCAGTATCACTACGGAAGTAGATTGCCCCATCTTCCTTCCGAGGAGTGGCTGGTGGGTTTGAACCGCCAGCCTCTGGTTAGCAGTCAAGTGCCTTAGACACTACGCTACCAGAGCTCCCCTGGCAGCTAGTAGGTACTTATTAAATAATGGATGTAAAACAGCACAGTAGACTTAATCTTCTATGTGGTATCTCACTATGTATTGTTGACTGATTTATTAATGTCTTCTAAGACCATCTAGTTATTACAGATAACTAAATTGTTATTTGTATATATTGTATGGTTTCTAGTTGCTTTATATTCCCAAACTTCCTTTGATATTATTCAAAAGTAGCTATTACTTCTGCGTACTCTAAATATCTCACTTAGAAGAGTATACTACTGTATTACATTAAATCTAAAATACCATCATTTATAAAATGCATCATTAGTTTGCAATAGAAGGAAAAAGCACTGTGAATTAATTGTAGGAATTCAGTGATATTAAAACGTACATTTTGGAATGATGAAATTCAATTTTAAGAAAAAGTAATCTCCAGACAAAGGAACTCTGGTGGTGATGTGCTTAAAGCATTGGGCTGCTAACCAGAGGGTCTGCAGTTCAAACCCACCATCTGCTCTATGAGAAAGATGAGGCAGTCTGCTCCTGTAAAGATTTACAGCCTTGGAAATCCTATGGGGCAGTTCTCTTCTGTCTTATAGTGTCACTGTGAGTGGGAATTGACTCAATAGCTTTGGATTTGGTTTTCTTGTGGTGAAGCCCTTTAATTTATTTAGTTATTTATTTGAAAATGTCAGTTAATGTAGGAAATCACTAAAAGATACACATACTTTATTTTAAATTAAAGCATGTAAACTGTACATGGATTCATCATTCATTTAGTGAGAGAAGTCCTTTTGAGAATGAGTCTGCTGATAGGAGTTCTACATCACTTTTCTCACAAAACAGTATTAGAACATTTGTTTGTAGTATCTTTAAAGTAGAACAAGAACTGATATTGCAAAGTGCAAAGTCCTTCCACTTAGGATTTTTCCCCCAATTTCTAACAGTTGTCTCACCCATACCTCATTCAATAGCACTTTTAATGATTCACACTTATCTAGTCATTCCAAAGCATTAAATGTAGTTTTTATAGAAACAAGCCCTCTTTATTACATTCACATTCTGTCAGCTTCCATACTATTTAATTACATCATCCAAATAGAATGACAAATACAACTGGCAAAAATAGGTTTGGAAATAAATACAGCTGACTCTACATAAGTATTCAGCTTAGGTGGAGGGAGCAGAGGGATGCAGGCATACTTGGGAGTTGCCTGCCAGCTAGAAGAGTGCTGGGCTTATCCAATGTGCAGTTTGAGGGAGGGCATGGAGAGCATCGATTCATCCCATTTGTTGCATGAGTGGGGTTATCAACAAGAACTTCTATTATGTTACACATTTTTCTTTCTTTTTTTCAAAATCTCTAGATTTGATCCATATGGAAAGAATAAATTCTCAACTTGCAGAATTTGCAAAAGTTCTGTGCACCAACCAGGTTCTCATTACTGTCAGGGCTGTGCCTACAAAAAGGGTATGTTTGCTTAATACTATTTTTCTATTCTTAACAAAGTTGCTTCATTTGGTGCTGATTTGGATAACACAAGAAGTAGCTGCTCTGGTTACCCAGTGCTGCTCTGACAGAAATGGGATGGCTTGAACAAACAGGAGTTTATTCTCCTACAGTTTGGGAGGCTAGAAGTCCGAGTTCAAAGTGCCAGGCTGTAGGAGCTGGGTGAAAGCCTCTCAACCTTGGGCTTCAGCTCTGCCTCTTGCATCTCTTCACTCAGGTGGCTGCTGAGGCTGGGAAGCCAAAGGTTGACAAATAAAATGGCACAGTCCTGATGTTACCAAACCACACTTGATTAATTCAAGTCAATTGAAAATCCCAAGGTCGGCAGAGCATGGCAGGCTGCTGAACAACGACACAGCTACCTGCAGGGTTCAAGCGTGCCATAAGCAAGAGACCATTCTGCAAGGCTTCTCCTTATATACAGGAAGCAGCCCACAGCCCTAAGGCAGCTGCTCAGAGTAGATTCCACCATGGAGTTGATTACCAGTTTCATCATGGGGAATACTACACCCCACTACCCAGCCACTCAACCAGGCCTAGCCAAATTGACACACAAACTTAACTACCACAATTCCACCCTTTGTCACCTTGGCACCTGTACAGATCTTCAATGTGTGACACATCTCTACAGATCTCCTTCACTGAGTGGCTCTAATCCCCTAGTTCCTGAGTGGCGACCTCACCCCCTTGGTCGGTGGGCACTGTTCCTCTACCTCTTGGGTATGGTAGTAGCCCTGACCCCTCTCTCTTGGGCAGAAACTATGGCACTATCCCAATGGCCCACATGAACGAGCAGCCACACACTCCAGAACCAAGTTGATGAAGGTCTAACTCTGAAACCTAGGGGGCTGTGTTGGTTCCACCCCCAGAGGCCATGGTCCTACCCTTTGAGGCTGAGGCAACTCTGCTTCCCATTTCATTGGTCTCTCAGCTTCTGCTGATTAATGCCAAAGGCAACCAACCCACTCCACCAGAAATCTTCCTGCTGAAAAAGCACTCAGCTTTCTTGCTTCATGGGCTGGCCAACCTCCTACTCCATTTCATGCCAGTCTCTTCTACCAATTAATGCTTGAAGGCAACCCACTCCACCAGGAAGCCACCTACCCAGTGGCACCTGGCTTTCTCGTCTGTGGGCTGGTAAGCCTGTTGCTGTTTAATGCCAGGTTCTGGGCTCTGCTACTGCCATCTCTCATGCTGGTCTCTCGGTTCTCCTCCTGCTGTCTCTCACGCCTGTCTCTTGGCTCTGCTCCTGCTGTCTCTCATGCCCATATGCCGGCGTCTCTCTGCCAGGGTCTTAGGTCAAGGATGCACTCCACTCATTTCCACGTTTTAGGTTATAGGTATCTGCCAGAGCAGCACACCACTTTGCCTTGCACAAATCCTGTTAGTCCACTAGTCTTTCTCCTCAGGCAAAGTAAAGCTTAGAGTTTGTTCATAGTTAAAACTATGTATTTTCTTTTTTTCTGATGTTATCAAATTATGTTTTAAGCTTCAGAACTGATTTTAAATAAATGAAACCATTAGTATTATGATTTGATTGCTCATGTATTTTCCTTTTGTTTCAGGCATATGTGCAATGTGTGGGAAAAAGGTTTTGGATACCAAAAACTACAAGCAAACATCCGTCTAGATCACTGATGAAGTTTCTGGCTTTCTATATGATTTTACTTTCTGCTTTGAACTTTCAAGGAATAACATAGATGTTCAAATTATAAAATAACATGTTGTAAGACAAATAATTAAGTTTAAGCCAGGGAAATTGATCAGTATTCATTCTTTTTCTCTCAAGAAGGAATAGCAAAAATGTAACTAGTCGTCTGTCTTAAGTTGTTATTTTTGTTACAAGCATTTTATTGAACTGGAATAAGTAGCAGATTTAATGAGAAAAAAAAGTCCCCAGTTCTGTATGCACTTTTCCTTTCACATTATTCATATAACTCCTCTTCGTTTTTCCTACTTTTTTACAGTTATTGCAAGACTGAGAAGGAGATTATTCATATTTTGCTCTGAACCTGGCATCTAGGCTTATAATTCTTCTCTTATTTTTGGTTGCTCAGTTCATTCCTTTACTGGTTGCATAGTTTTTTAGAATCAGCAGTCCCTTATTCACAGGGTATCTAAATATTTGAAAATGTTGTTGCTGAATTTTCCCTTTGTAATTAGCCTAGACTCAAAGACAAGTTAGATTTGTGATTTTTTTTTTTTCAATTTGTTCTTGAAGTCAGAATGTCACTTTTCTCCTATAAGAAGGAACACCCAGTATGTCCAGATTCATACACTGGACTTCAAGACAACACATATACCCACATTACCTTGAAGTTGGCTGTCATGTAAGCCAGAAGAACAGAACAGTGTCCATGATGACATGTAATAAAGATTAATTTTCATTCATTTCCACACTTTGGAAATGTTCTTTGCAGCAGAAACTACACTTTTTTTAATCCCCCACCCCTCTCACACACAGACACACACACACACAGACACAAAGAAAACATAGCAATCATCTTGACTCTTTTTATAACATCAACTGCTAAGAAACTATTTTGAGATTTCAAAGAAGGATTCTTTTTATGCTGCTTTCAGAGGCTCGGGACTACTGTTTTTGATACCTGCAGCCTACTATGGGAGAGCAAAAAAGGCTTCACTGTGACCACCAAGTGCAGTGTGTATAAATAGATATCACTGTAAAATGTGTAGAGTAGGCATTGTGATAACAAACATGGTATTTGTTGCATTTTTATTTGTTGAAAATTATTATGAAAAGTAAAGTTTCACCTGTTTAATTTATATACAAGGTTTTTTAAAATTTTTTCTTTTTCTCCCTAAGTTACATTGTTGTTCATTCATATCCACAAAGATTACAAGGACAGTTGCAAAAACAGAGTAATAATAATAGTGCTGAGGGCAGGAAGTATCCTGGCATGCTTTAATCAGGTTGGGATTTTTAATTGAAGGTATTACACAAGGGGCCTATAACAAGACCGAGTCAGAGTGTATCTTGGTTCTGTAGTGTTGCTATAACAGACACACCACAAGTGAATGGCTGTAACAAACAGAAATTTATTCTCTTACAATTTAGGAGGCTAGAAGTCCAAATTCAGAGTGCTGGCTCTAGGGGCTGGTGAAGGCCCCTCGACCTTGGGCTTCAGCTCCACCTCTTATTCCAGGCCCACTGGAGCTAGAGGGGTCTCCTAACTCAGGCAGCTGCTGACTGCTGAGGCTAGTGAACCCCAGGTTGGAAGGTAAGATGGCACAGTCCTAACATCAACAGGCAACACAGCAGACCACTGGTTCAAGTCCAAGAATAATCCCAAAATCGGCAATCAACACAGTAGGCCAAGACTCACCCAAATGCAGGGTCCAGATGTGCCAAAACCTAGAAACTTTTCTCAAAGTTTCTTATGTACTGGAAGCAGGACACACCCTGAAGACATCTGCTTAGCTGCTCACAGCAGATCCCGCTATCGTGTGGAATAACTACATCCAGCTGCCTGGCCACTCAAAACCATAGCCCAGCCAAGGTGACACACAACCATAGCTACCACACAGAGTGTCCCAGATCCATTGAAACTTGAGCTGTTAACTTGGGGGAAAAGTATGTTTTTCGAGGTGTAATTGGTGATCTGAACTCCCACAACTCACATTTCCCATTCCTGCCTTCAGTAGCCTGCCTCCATGAATGGATCCAATGGCCAAACAGGTTCTCCTGCAAAGGTGTTTTATTAATATTATACCTCAGAACAGAATGCTAATATTATAAATCTTCATACTGTCAAAATAATAATTAAAAAAAATAGTAATAATAAGTCTCGTAATTTGAGTAGAAGAAGTAGTAACTAGATGAGAAGGCAAAACAAGCATTTTTCAAAAGGAAGGCATAAAAACATAACAAGATGATTGAATTAGGATCAAACATCTTTTATCAAAGTAAAATCAGTGCAGTCAATGTAAAAGTGATTAAATGACCTATTAAAAGAATCTCATATTTATTAAAAAATAAAAACAAATACTAGTAGAATACTTACTAAGTAAATTTTGTGTATTCATTTGTTGGCATATGCATATGATAGGAAAATTACATATCTGTACAAAAGTTTATACATATAGAAAATGTTTGGAGGCTATGAGTAGTGTTTCTGTCTGCAGAGTAGGGCTGAGGATTGAAAAGGGGGAGACTGTATACCTTCACTGCTTTATGTCAACCACCTAATACCTTTTTGCTTCTAGTTCTCTTGCAGGAAGTGAGGGCAGAAGGGAGGGAGGAGTCTATTAACTTTTTAAATATATGTGTATATCTGTTTCGGTATTTTAAATTTGAACAAAATAGATACATTGTTCTGCCCTAGACTTTTAAAAAAAAAATTCCCATATATATTTTATCATTTTCTTTTATCCCTCAAGCCATTTGAGGGTATGTCACAGACATCATGCCTTTTATTCTTTAATAACACTGCATGTGTACTTCATAAGAAAAAGAATAATGTCTTACCTAACTGCAGTTGTGTGTTGTTAGGTGCCATCAAGTTGTACCCAACTCATAGCAACTCTATGCACAGCAGAACAAAACACTGCCGGTCCCATGCCAGCTCCACGATCTGCAGTATGGTTATCTAATTCAGGGATTTAACATTGGAGCTCTGGTAGCATAGTGCCTGAGGCACTTGACTGCTAACCAGAAGGCTGGCAGTTCAAACCCACCAGCCACTCCTCGGCAGGAAGGTTGGGCAATCTACTTCCGTAGTGATACTGCCTCAGAAACACAATGAAGGGTCACTATGAGTCGGGTCCGACTCGACAGCACATAACAACAACAACAATACGTTCATTTAACCTACAGTCCATTGGTAATGTTTTTCTCAGCTACAGGACTCTGTAAGATCACGTGTTGTCTTGCCGTGGCTCTTTAATCTGGAACAGTCTCTCAGCCTTTCTTTGTCTTTTATAACATTGATATATTTGAAAAATACAAGTTGCTTAATATATAGAATATCCATCGGTTTGGATTTTTGTGATGTTTTCCTCTTGATTTGAGTTGTGGATTGGAATACTGTAAGTGATGTCTCCTTCAGGTACCACTTCCAAAGGCACAGAATGTTGCTTTGCTCCTTGTTTTCAAATGAGTGAGTAATTTGTGGAGAGAAACTTTGAGATCATATAAATATTCTGTTCCTTATCAAACTTTCCCCTCCTATGTTTAGCATCCTTTGATATTTCTTGTCTGAATAAAATTTTACTATGATATTTAGAATATATGATATTTTCTAACTCCATTATTCCTCTATTAGTTGTCATTCTACTGTAAGAGGTTTCCTTTTATCTATCTACCTAGTTATCATTAGTATAAAATAAATGTTCTTTTTTGAACTATTTTAGAGTTAGTTATAAAAATGATGCCTCCTTACCCTAAATACTTAAGTGTGTATTTCATAAGACAATTTCTTGTATAAGCACAATTATTAAAATCAAGAAATCAGTGTTAATACAATACTAGTATCTTATCTGTTCCAGATTTCACTAATTTTTCAGTAATGCCCTTTGGGAGAGGAAAAAAAAATCTGATCCAGGATCCTGAATTCAGGATTACATATTACATTTACTTGTCATGTCTGTGTGGTCTCCTTTAATGTGGAATAAGGAGCCCTGGTGGCACAATGGTTAAGCACTTGGCTGCTAACCAGAAGGTCATAGGTGAGAATCCACCAGCCACACCAAGGAAGAAAGACATGGCAGTCTGCTTCCGTAAAGATTTACAGCCTTGAAAACCCTACGGGGCGGTTCTGTTCTACCCTATGGGGTCACTCTTGGGTCTAAATCTACCCTATGGCAATAGGTTTGGGTTATTTTTTCCCTTTGGTTGTTTAATCTGGAATAATTCTTCAGTCTGTCTTTAATCTTCAAAAATGCCTATGTCACAAAAGACATAGGCCAGTTGTTTTATAGAATATCCCTCGGTTTTCTTGGTATTTATTTATGGTAGAATTTCTGCACGTTGGGCAGGAATACCACAGAAGTACAATTGTGCTCTTTTTTAGTGCATTGTGTTGCTTGTCCTATTATGAGGATGTTAATTTTGATCACTTGTTTTAAGTGATATCTGCTGGATTTCTCCATTGTAAAGTTGATGGTTGGTTTGTTTTCTTTTGAATAAATATTTGTGGGTAGATAACTTTGAGACTATAAGTGTTCTGTTCCTCAGCAAACTTTAAGACACAAACTTTAGCATCCAGTGATGTTTCTTGACTTACTTGTTACTTTGATGCTTGCTAAATGGTGATTTTCCAATTCTGTCCTTCCTTCTACATTTATTAGTCCTCATTCGACTGTAAGGGGAAGCTTTGTCTTTTTCCCACTTATTTATTCTTGTACTTATTTATATTAGTATAGACTTATAGGTACCTGTGTTATTCAGTCTGCTTTTAGTTGTTTTGATGTCTGATTGTGCCAGATTTGACCAATGAAAGACCTTTCAAGATGGCTCCTGGGCATTCTTAATATGTTCTTACCCTTCTTTGAGCAGTGCCTTCCTTTTTAGCACAGACTGTTCCAAGTTTATCTTGTTTTGTTTTTTCCTCCACCTTAACCCTGGAATCAACCATTTCTCCAAATTCTCTTAGTTTCTTTTAGAGGTGAATAGGCTTTAGAAACTGAGAATCTGGGCTCTTGGTCTGCCATTGTTGCTAAGCTCCTACCAAAGACAGAGGCAGGAAATGTGTGTGTGTGTGTGTGTGTGTGTGTGACAAATTGTACTGATATCTCCAGTTTCAGTTCAACCTCAAAGAGTTGACTTGCCCAGTTCCACATTGATATCTTCTTCCACAGTGAGAACCCTGGCTCTCAACATTATCA